AAACACAGCTAGAGCAAAAAGGGACTGCTGTAGTATCTTGAATGGTATTCAATATGTATTCACTCTATATGTATTCACATAGCAGCTAAGGAATGGTCACTTCTGACTTATACAAAGACTTGCCAAATTCTTGGGCCCCTCGCTCTTCAGCATTTTCACATTTTCACTTGGTCAGATTTTAAGATCACATGACCTCAGTTACATTTCTAGGCTGATGATACTCAAATATACATCCTTACCAAACTGACACTGATGTGGCTGTCTCTATTCTATCTAATTGGATCTCTGACATAAAAATTTGGATGACTCTAAATTCCCTTCATCTTAACTCTGACAAGACTGGAGTCACGCTTATTGGCACCCCCTCATCAACTTTGTAAAGCCAATCCTGTAATCCTATCTGTAGATGGGTCTGTACAGGTCTAGTTCAAGTTATCACATTACTCCTATCCTGGAGTCCTTGCAATGGCTTCCTGTCAAATTCCATGTGGACTTTAAAATCCTAATGCTCACCTGTAAGGCACTGCATGGCTTGGCACCTCAGTACCTGTCTGAACTATTATCGCCCTACTCCCCACCTCACAACCTTCGCTCTGCTAATTCTCCTAACTGTCCCTCAAGCCCATCTACATTGTATGGGTGACAGGGCCTTCTCCTGTTATACCCCCAAGCTCTGGAACTCTCTGCCCAAGGATATCAGAGAGTCACCTTATCTAAACTCCTTCAAATCTTGACTCAAAACCTTTTTCTTTAGAAAAGCCTTTACTTAACTGGTTCCATTCTTCACCCCTCTGCTTTTCTTAGTACCACCATCCACAGTCTCATCTGTATATTGTAATTGTGGTTCATCTTGTGTATTCTTTTTATTTATTGTTGTCATTCTGTAAAGTGCTTTGAGAAGCCACTTTTAAAGGCGCTATATAAAATAAAGTTTATTATTATTATTTTAAAATGTAACAAAATGCAGTGGTTGTATTATTGTTTTTAATTATTCTGCTAAAATTAGCAAAAGCCTTTAAATTCATTACTCTTTAATGAAAATTCATGAGCATGTAGTCATCTAGTTTACAAGATTGTAGAGGCAGATGTATTACATGATTTGGCCTTGTCTCTATGCTGAATTGTTCAAATATTTAGGGAATAATCAAAAATCATTAAGTGGAAGTCTTAAACTTGATGCACAATGTTAGCTCATGTCAAAGATTTAAACTTTATTAGGTTAGGAGGACTGACCACATTGTTTGGTCTCTCGATGGATTTTACTTGCTCAAAAAATATTTAAACTACAAATACTGTATTTGAACTCTAAAAACTCTTGGCCTGTGGAACAAAATTTGATGTTTTAAACTTAGCCACTTAAGGACACATTGTTATTGGGCAGATTATTTTTCCACTGGAATTCTAAGAAGTCTGTAAAATTCCTAAAGTAGTATGGCAATGCATGAAACCTGACAGGACTTTGAAGCTCTGAGGGAAACTGTAAAGTGAAGATCAGGCTGATAGGTCTAGTATGGCTGTCCAAATATCAGATTTTTTGCAGAATCATTTTCTTTAAAATCAAGTGCTAAAATGCCAGTTTATACTCCCAGGACATCCCCACAACATGAATATGGGGAGCACATGCAAACTCCACAGAGTTGGCACCCCAGGTCTAGAGTTGAACTCAGAGCTCCAGTGCTGCAAGGCAGCAATGCTAGCCACTATGCCACCCATCCAAGAACCACTGATAAATTATATATATTTTAGAGGTGATAGGCCAAAAATGTACAAATTCAGGGCTGTGAGCACGATCGAGACTTTTAAACCTGGCAATTTGGATTTTTATAAGAAGGCAAGGTATGACCTGTGGAGAGGTATCAGGGAGGCCAAAAGGCAATATGGTAACGAACTAGAAATACAAGCTGCATCTTCCAATGTGCACTAAACGTGGCAGGGGTTCAGACTATAACAAAACAAAGCTAAAATAAACAGTGTTACATACACTAATAATGATTTCTATCTACTGAATGATCTGAATGGCTATTACATTTGGCTCAATTTCAGAATTCATGGAACCGCCAGTGCCAGTATTCCCAGCTGCTGATGATATGGCCACAGAGGCAGAAGTCAGGGCAACTTTCAGATGTACAGTATGAACCTATGGAAGGCGACCAGTCCAGACAGTGTTTCTATGGGTCCTGTGTAGATCAATTGGTCATGTCTTTCATAGATATTTTTAAACTTTCACTTTTACAATCTTCTGTCTCGTATATTTAAAAAAAATGACCATTACACCAGTGTCAAAGAAAAATTCTGCAACTTGTTTTAATGAGTACAGACTGTCACATATACCATAATGAAATGCTTTGAAAGTCTGGTCATGAGGCATATTAACATAATGTTACCTGAGTGCTAAGACCCATGCAGTTTGCATACCAGTGCAACAGGTCCACTAACAATATTATTTTCCTGGCTGTTCACACTGCCTTACCTTATTTGGGTGATAAAGACACTTATATCAAAATACTATTCATTGATTACAGCTCCGTCTTTAACACTATAGTTCCATCTAGACTAGTTAACAAGTTTAATAATCTGGTTATCAGCACCTCTCTCTGCAGCTGAATTCTAGATTTCCTGACTGGCAGACCACAGACAGTGAGGGTCAGTGGAAAAGCTTGGCTTTCTTCCACGCTTCAACATAGGTGCCCCTCAGGGCTGTGTGCTTAGCCCCCTGCTGTTTTCCTTGTTTACCCATGATTGTGTGGCCAGACTCAGCTCCAACTGCATCTACAAGCATACTGATACACCACCATGATTGGCTAAATCACCAGTAATGATGAGATGGTCTACAAGGATGAGGTGTACCTGGTAGAGTGGTGCTTTGACAATAATCTCTCACTCAAAGTCAGCAAAACCAAAGAGTGGTTGTAAATGTTAGAAAGCAGGGTGGGGACCACACCTCTTATTCACTTCAATGGGTTTGCTGTACAGATGTTTAGCAGCTTCAGGTTCCTTCATTACTAATGATTTAACCTGGTCGCAGCATATAACTGGAGCTACAAAGAAGGCACAACAGAGCTTTTGCTTCCTCAGACAGTTGAAAAACCTTGGTCTATCTTCAACTATCCAGACTACTACATTTTACAGGTTTTATTGACCGTGTGTTCACATGTGGTATTACACAGTTTGGCAGCGTTGGTTGACCTGAAAGGCATTATAGGGGGTGATCAGGTTGGCCCAGTCCATTATTGGAGTACAACCCCCCTCTATTGCAGACAATTTTACAACTCACTGTTTCAGGAAGGCTGGAAGTATTGCTAAGGATAACAATCGTCCTGGTTTCTCACTTTTCTCTCCACCATCAGAGTCAGAGACAGTTTCTTCCCACAAATTGTCAGATTTCTGAACTCTACACCTCCCACAGTGGGGTAGAGTTCATATCATTGCACTGGAGAAGTGCGGCAAATCATTGCATTGTCTTGAGTAGTGTAAAGCACAGATTTTGTTTTCCATACTTGTTTCCACACCTGTAAAATCTTTAATTCTCCTTACACAAACCTTTAATTCATATTCCTGTGTCTTTTTTCTATCTAACTCAATAGACTCACACTGATGTTTTTGTTCACACTGCTTCTGCTGATTTGTATTTAAGTTGTAGGTTATTTAACTTTGTTATTGTTGCTGCTGTTGTTTTATTTTGGTGTTTTTTTAATATCATTGTATCTGAGCATACATACAAATAGGCATTTCAAAACTCTAATTTGTATTATGGTACTCCAGGTATTGGAGGTACAGTATAGCAAAAACAAATAACGATTTATCAGATTCATAACACATTATTATAAATAAACTGTTATGATGGTATTTTTTTTGAAAACTCCAATGTATGAGATTTACATAAAGAAACTGGATTGGTGAAATCAAGGTTGTCAATGTACCAATGTACTGGTGCAACATATCACAACAATAATACTGCTTCTCAAGACAGCTTGAGAACAACACAAAGCAAAAACTGAGCACCACTAAATGTTCTTGTGAACCAGTAGATGTGATGTATTTATGATATTATGATATTCAACAAAGTGGACATTGAATAAACCATTGCCTTGATTACAGGTCAGGACCATAGCACTTTTCAAACAAATCTTGTTTTTTTATCCATTACAACATTGTTAATAACCCAGCACATTTCTGTTGTTGCAATTTCAGCTTTTAGGTAAAAGTGAAGCTTTAAGGCATTTCTTGAAAAGAGTAGGAGTATTAACCTCAGCTTCCTGGCCAAAATCTTCCAACTGGATTTTACCAACCATAGCCTCCTAATAATCCCCATCTAACAATCGGGTTCATTTCTCTGTTCTCCTCCCCACTGATCGGTGGTGTGTGGTGAGCATACTGGCAAACTTTGGCTTACTTCCCATCATCCAGGCAGGTGCTGCACATTGATGGTCGAGGGGATTCCCCATTGCCTGTAAAGTGCTTTGAGTGGAGTGTCCGAAAAAACAAATAGGTAGCTGCGTCAGCATGCATCGGCTGCAAAGGAACATGTAACAGTTTATCCCTTGGTGAAAAGAAAGAGACACAATGTTTCGAGTGTGGAGCCTTCTTCGGGAGTTCTTCACACACCTGTAGAAGATTCCGCAGCCGAGACATAGTGTCTCTTTTCTTTTCAGCATGGGATAAACCTTTACTTGTTCCTGTCAGGAAAGTGTGATGTAAAGAATTATTAATTTCATTGTAGGGAAAGGCTAATGGCTCAATTTAATTAGCAGTGGCATCGTTTCCAATGAGAGGTAAAATCTGTACTTATTATTGTAAATAATAATTCCAGTAGAATTAAAATGTTTTACTTTTTGTCAGATGGGAAATAACAAACTATTTTTAAGACTGTGTAGGCGGACAAACAGCACAAACAACCAAAACTAATATAACATCTTACAACTTTATTTAAAAAATATAAAATCAACATGTACATGTAAATACAGCATGAAATTAGAGAGTAACATATTGTGGAAAATACTATATAGTCGACTTTTCTATGGTTTACATGAGCACTGTGCATGGCGTTAAAGGAAATGTCGATTTAAGCCAAAGTGGTCGCTGTTTGAAATTTTGCTTTCAAATTATCATGAGCTTAATGTTTAACCAAACGCAAGATTCAGTTTTGACCTAAAGTGTAATCATGCAAAACTACGGCAGGACCTCGTTTCTCCTTTCTTTTGTTTCAGCTTTGAACCAATCTATTTTTCTCGAAACAACAAGAAGACAGACACTGAACTAAATTAATCATTATACCAGCGTAAACATCAACGAATTTAGTATATTCTTTACTGAGTCTGTTCATGCAATTTCTTGCAGTATTTTGTCGTATTTTACACAGGCAATGTAGTGAACACTCAGGCTAGGACCTTTGGTTGTCTTGTCGCATAGTTGCCGTGGTTCTGGGAGGAAGATGGAGCTCGGCGGTAGATTATTGAATGTTATTTATTACTACTTTACGTATTAAAATCTGCAATAATGTTGCTTTTACATGTTTGCATATGTAAAAGCATAGGCTAGCTGTGTGCAGTTACAGAGATTGCGTTTTTTTACAGCCAATAAAAGGTAAGACCTCATTGTTCTCACGATGTAAGAAGACATTGTCATTTGATGAACAGCACTGCATTTAACAGCATAATCCTTAATAATAATAACAGCAATTTGACCATTGCAATTAAGTATTCTCTGTTTTAATACTGAGTATATTTAATTTAATCTATAAGTCGATATTATTAATTAATTTTAATGATTTGTTTCATACACAGAAAAAAAAATACGTTTCGTATTTCTTTACAGAACATTTGATTGTAGGTGGGCTATCCCTCAATTTCAAGTGAAGACTTATACTGTGTAAAAATCTTTTGTTCCAAGCCTTCCTAGAATAAAAAATAATATAAATGAGTCTTTTGTTTCGGGGTATATATATATCTATATAGCGATCTAAATCTAGATATGAAAAATGTTTCTATTAGCTCTGATGTCTTCTATTAGCTCTTGGAAATCAGCTTTCAGATAGTCGGATATGGTGTAGTGTAAGTGTTAACTGGTTTGTTGGCGTGGTGTTTTGTCATACATGATATTGGACTGCTTACTGTAATTTTTTTCTTTTGTTTGTTTTTGTTACAGCTCATTAATGTTTTGTATTTGTTCCATCATACGGTTTCGGCATGCCTCAAAAGCTTTTAAAGAGTGCCCATTACATAGAACTGGGAAGCTACCAGTACTGGCCAGTTCTTGTTCCAAGAGGAATCCGCTTGTTCACCTATGAGCAAATTCCTGTGTTCCTTAAAGAAAACCCATATATAACAGATGGTTACAGAGCTTACTTACCATCAAGACTGTGCTTAAAAAGGTGAGTTATACATAAAGACAGTATACACAGTATATCAAGATCATACTTATGATAGACTGGTGTAGGCCATATGATTAGACATTCAATTTAAAAATGTGAAGCAGAGGTCTGAATGCATGTCTGCGATGCAATGGATGTCTATGTTATTAAAAATATGACTGTACTGGAATTAACATGATTTCAGTTTCAGAACCACTTTAAAAAATGTCTTTAGTGTGTCTTATGATTCTAAACTTTCTGAAATGTGGTCTGGTTTTTAAAAAAGGCTTTTGCCTTCAACTGGGAGAGGCAGTAAGGTCTAAAAGTCTATTGTAGTGCTTTAGTCACTTAATGTGTGATTATTTAAAAATGCCAGAAAGCTGCAAACAAGGCATCTCAGTGGATTTCTAGAACCACAAAGACTGAGCATGGTATTGAGGAGGGGAGGGTTGAGGAAAACGAATTACCAAGTAACATAATAGCCTAAGAAAAGTAATTCACGTAGGTAGCTGCGTCAGCATGCGTAGGCTGCAAAGGAGCAAGTAAAGGTTTATTCCATGCTGAAAAGAGGAGAAACACAACGTTTCGACTGGGACAGAACTGTGCTGTTTATCCTATAGGTTTTTTAACTTTTTTGTTTTTGCACAAAATGAGAGGAAAAAGAGTGGTGCATGGTGGTGCAGTGTCTGTCATTGGTGCCACACAGTGCTGGAGCCTTAGGTTAAATTCTGGACCTGGGGTGCTATCTGCATGGAGTTTGTATTTTCTCTTTGTGTTTGTGTTTGTGTTGGTTTTGCTCCTGGTGTTCCCCACAGTCCAAAGACATACTGGTTGGTTAATTGGCTTGTGGGAAGACTGGCCCCTAATCTAAGTCTACTCTGCAATGGACTGTCATCCTGTCTGGAGTATACCCTGCCTTGCGCCCATTGTTGGCTCCCCCAACAATTACTGCTTCTTAATCAGCATGGGATAAACCCATTTAATACATTTAAACACAACAGCCTGCATATAAAAGAAGTAAATCATACTTGTTGTAACATATACTTAACAATTTATGGCACCAAAGCTATTTGAACACATCAGAAAAGGACCTTAACTCAAAAGGTTTTTGTCCAGTTATGAGCCATTGGAATAAATCAAACACTTTTATGTGTTTTAAGGGGAATTAGTGAGTGATGTTTTTACACATTTTCATAGTCATTTTGGAACCAATTGTGCTCATATAGTGAGGGATTTGTGTACTTGAAAGATTATATAGACATTTTGTTATTTTTCCTTTTTGAAGCCAGACCTACACTTAGCTAATGTGTTGTTTTAGCTTTGAAGTGTCGGTGGTCTGGTGCATTATTTGATAATCAAAATGTATTACAATGAGATATTGACTATTGTAGTGCATGGAACAAGTTGCAATTATTTTATAGGTACTTGTTGATTAAACACTGAGCATTCTGGATGAATCATTCAACTGAGTACATTTGGTCTCCCATTGGTTAGATGTCATACACTGATATTAGCCATTCTCAGTCACCAAATGTTAACCCAGTCAAGCATTTATGGTATATGTATGGTATGGTATATCAATTCCAGATGCTGGTAGACTCAGCACATACAGGCCATAGTGGGCAAACATAGCTCAATGCTATGTTAAGTGGTCTAACATTGGTATTTTTTATGTACTGTTGGAATTTGTTTTAATTCTGCTAAAGCCACTTATTAAATATTTATCCCACTGTAGTTCCTTAATCATCTTAATCTTTTAATTTTCTAAAAGACAGGCTCATAAGCATAGCGATCTATTTATGGCAGTTTACCTGTAATTGCACATCTGTTTTGTTCAGTATTATCACACAGTGACAATAAAGTTATTGATGTGTCAAAAGAATAGTTTTGCTTTGCCGAAATAGAAAATAAAAAAACTCAGAAGAAAAATACACTAGTCAGAAAATGAGTGTAATAACAAAATTAAGCACTAGTAGCCTAGTGTAAAGCAAAAATAAGAAAAGGCTGTTCTCAAGTAGCATGTAAATGTCATTTACAGTTCAGTGCAAGAAAGCAGAATGTTTTGTTTTTGCTATTCAGTTTAATTGTGGTCACTTGATTACCCTTGCTTTCATGGATTGATGTTGCTATGTGACAATGTGCCCTTATGAAGTAATCTTTATTTTACCAATGGCAGCATTTTTCATAGCCAGCAAACATTATTTTGGTTTCATCCAGAAATCCAGTGCAATATCTTCACGCTGCTTTTTTCTTTTGCATATTATCTGTACTTTATACTTTGGATTAACATTTATCATTAAATCCTGGGATAAAATGTAATGGAAACATCACATCCAAACTTCAAACTTGTTTTATGTTGAATATCCTGTTGTCTTGAGAAATTTGTGAGCTGGTTGAAAGAAGCATGTTTATGTTTCCAATTGTTCCAGGTTGACATACTGTATGGAAGTATCAATTACTCTGCAACTTCACCTTTATTTTTAACAGTCTATTTATTTATTCTGTCTGTGCATCTGCTGTACTAGTGCTTGGTATGTGTAATTCAAGTAGGTACAGATCCAGCCATTCAAAATAAGTGAGGTATGCTGTGTTAAACGTGGTGAATGTACAGCAACATACTGCGTGTTTTTTTAAATGGGATAATAGTAACCGGAAGTACCTTTTAGAACTGCCAGGTGAAGCTAATAAAGCTTAACGTGTCATGTGCAGCATTTGAGCTGTCGCCAGAAACTGCCCGGTTTCAAACAATCTTTTTCCAATTAAGAATCTAAGTCGTATACTGTTTAGACTTTTAATAATTTTAAACTGTGTATTGCAGCATGTTAAACATTAAACTGATTAAAATTCTGTATATTTTATAAAAGCAAGATTGCTCAGTTGGACAAAAGTACACAACCTTCTACCTTCTTCATAAATAATTGAATTATCACAAGTGGACCTTTTCTGAAACATTTTGGCATTCGTTTCTTTAAAAAAAAACTTCTGTTGTCCTTGTAGTGGTAATGAGCACTGTAATGTAGAGAGTTGCACCCAGGTGGTTCAAAGCGTAATCAGAGCATTACTTTCAGTTTGATTCTCTTATAGCTGAATACATAACAATAGTCCACTGTTATAGCTTATTGTGAACATGTCTCTTTCAGGGCTAACATCCTAATTGAGAAAATCTGTATTTTATCTTAATCCAAATGTCAGCAGCCAGTAATCAGCCAACAATTTAACTTGGAATTTTAAAATGTAGTTTAAATTGTACTATATAGTATAGCGCCTGGGATTGAACCCGGGCCGTCAGCTTCATTCAACAGGAACCATCTGGCTGAGCTAACACAACTATGGCAGCACAACATTGTGAGTTTTCTATAGCGCGGAGTGTTTTTACAGTTAAACAATGGAAATTGTTATCTTTGTCTTCTAAGTCCCTTAATTAACTTTAAGCATAGCTTTCTCACCGTTTTTATTTTTTTATACATTTTAGCAAAGTGTTATCTATACAAATGCCACAAAACTATTCTCGATTATATTTCTGAATGTTATGGCACACTTAGTTCAACATTTTAAATGCATCTAAATAAGAAAGTCAGGCATGAACATAAACTGTTAGTAAGTCAATAATATTAAAATTGGCACTAATAAATTGTTGCACTTCTTCCACATTTTGTAATTTCCAAATCATTGTTTGTTAAATTTACATTAAATCTGACTTTCAGATAAGGAAAAAATACCAAATTAATAAAAATTAGAGTAAAATAAATGTAATATATTTTGCTAAAAATCAACAATTAATAACAGTCTTAACTGTTTATAAAAATTAAATGTAGTAACTAAGAAATTGGATGGCACAGTGGTTAGCATTGCCTTTTGTATGTTTTTTCATAAAAAAGTAGCACCTTATGTCTCAGGCTTTCGAAATTAAATTATGCATGGTAATCTTTGAATTAGAAAGATGACTAAGATATCCATCCATTTTTAATGGTGGTGCAGTAATTAGCTTTGTTATCTTGCCGTGCTGAGGCCCTATGTTCAATTACTGAGGTATGTGTAGAGTTTGCATGTTCTTTCTGGGTTCATGTGGGTTTTCTCCAGGTAATCTAATTTCCTCTTGCAGTCCAAAACATACTGGTAGGTTAATTTGTTTATTGGAATACTGACCCTGGTTTAAGTCTGTGTTTGTGTCTGTTTTTCTGCCCTGTGATTGACTGACATTATACCCAGGGTGTATTCTGTCTAGCAAATGTTTCTTGCTGAGATAGACTCCAGCTACTCTGTAAAGGATAAAGAGGTTAGAAAATGGAAGGAACTAAAGGCACTGTGTAACTACTGTATACACAGTGATAGAAACCTTTACTTATTTAGTAGTTCCGTTAGTGACAAAGGCTAAATTATTTTCTTCGAAAAGTGTATTTTAGGTGTAGTAAAAAAATGACTTGCTTTAACAAAATATATTTACAAATGCTTTCCCCTGACAATTTACCTGAATGCCCAACTATTTGAGAAGCCTTCCATGAAACCATGATTGCTATTAATTCATATAAGGGCTCTCTTACTGAATTCCTCTGTTTTTCATGTGTGCTAATTTTCTGACTCTATCCTATCAAAGCTTCATAGTCTCCCTACCAGAAATGCACCTGATTATTCAAGCCCCTAACTCTCAAATCTGCTTCAGGTTCACATGTTCTTTTGTAACACACACCTTTCTGTGATTTTTTTGTATATCTAAGCTTTTGCAAGTGTTCCTTCATCCCTATTGTGCACTGTCTGGTCATGGCATTTTTCTCATTGCTTATTTTTAAGGTAACACCTGCTCCAATTCTAAAACGTTTTGCTCAAGTGCATTTTTGTATTTTCACGTTTATTTATTTTATTGTTTATCTCTAACACTTTAATGTCCCAAATTTTCATTTGCCTTAATTTTTTAAACTGAATTTTAGTTTCAGCCTTAAAACAGCTTAAGTTTCTCTTTTGTTTCTTGTCTCTTTAATTGTGAAGTTTGTGAAGTTCACAGCATTTTTACATTACTCTGTTTA